AAGTTCTCTACAATTTTACAATTTTCAAAAAAACATAAAAAATTTGTTAAATTGCTGGTCAATTTAACTCGTGATATTATTGCGGTAGTTTAGTGGAGTTAGCGTTTCAAGACCGAAAAATCATTTCGGCGCGCGTGTCTAAGGACTACATACGTAGTATATAAATTCATATAAGAATCATAGATTTAAGATCCAGTTAAACTATTTAAGGCTTTGATTTCTATAGTTTGTGTTATCACATATACGGTCCTGTAATATATTATATTGTTTACAATTTTCGCAATGGTTAACGAAACATTAATTTCTAAATATTGCCGAATAAACGCATATTCGGCTGCCCAATCATTAACGAAAATTGCAAAATGGTAGAAGACTGTTTGATTCAATTTTTTATTAGGAAGCATTATAGCGTTATGTGATTAGGCAATTGCTTACTCGGCAATCTTTGGAAATTAATATTTCAACAATTATTGCGAAAATTGCAAAATGGTAGAGGACTTTTCGACTCAATTTTTAATCAGAAATAGCGCTATATGATTAGTGTCTGCTATTTAAGAAACACCCTGTAGATTGCTTTCTGTTCTCAAGATATCTAATGGCGAATTCGATTGGACGCACTAGCGCACGTTGGTGCATGTTAGCCGTTGTACACTGATTTAATTTAAGTGTAAAAGTGAAATAGAAATATTTTGAATTATAAAATACATATTTTACCTAACAGCACAATAAAGTATATTGACTTATGTTAGTTTACATCGTGCACTTGATACGGGTACTAACTAGTAACTTTCTATTGAATTAATTTTGGTGATACGTATAAATATATACATGTATGTGTATTTAATTAACCATTTTGATGCATATTATATCAATTTACTACATCATTCTTTGAATACATCGCTGAAATTAAGATAATTTAATAGAAAGTTACTAATTAATACGTGTATCAAGTGCACGATGTAAATTAAGCCAATGAGTATTTCACGATTTAATCGGTTTTTATGTTTATTTATAATAAACGTAGACATTTATAAATAAACATAAAAACCGATATATATTTACATTAACTTTTGTACGACGGCTTTAATGTGCACCAGTGCGCACTGATTATGAGTACGTCCAACCGAATTCGCTATAAGACTTCTTGAATACATAACCGAAATTATACGACATGTCATTAAATTCGATTGGAGGATACTTAATCGCGGTTTGGAAAAACCTCGCGCGTCACTACTATATAAAAATCCTAAGAAACAGCATCATTTCCTGTGCAAACGGACTTTGTACGTAAATGTTTAGACACTTCCTGCCCAAATCGGCTCAGAGTATTGTATGCATATCGTATGTCATATCCGGAAGTGTTAATCATCGCTTAAATATCCATGAAATTTAGGCGTGATGAAAAACGGACTGCTTATTTGTTTAACCGAGTGTAACATGAAGATTTTATATATCGAAGGCTGTAAGAAACGTTCACTGTAACTAAATATGTACAAGCCGATCGACATGGAAACGATCGCGGAATAACTTCCGCGTTTTCGTATCCGACAGTACTTGCGATTGCATGATTCTCCACGAGGATTACGCGGGCGGCTCAAGGATGTATCATAGATTGCGTCAGGATTGCATACCCGTCATCGGGATTGCGTTGCATCCATGCAGGTTGTGCGTCTCGCTAAAAAAAATGCTGGATATATATAAATGTTTGCGAGCACAGAAAGAATGATTGTATTGATATATCTAAAAGTTTATATCTAAAAGTTTTCTTAGAGTTTTCACTCTAAATTTCTTGCAGTGTAATCTCACTCCAAGAGAGTGAAAATGTAACCATTCTTGAAAAAAAGTAAAAATATTTCATTTCTGGAGAAAAAGTGACGATCTTTACTCTTTTTAGAATGAATTTTCATTTCATAGGAGTAAAATTTAACTCTAAAAAAAGTGAGATTCATTCCTTTGAAGTGAAAATTCATTCTAAAAAGGATGAAAATTGTTACTCTTTTTCAAGAAGTGAAATATTTTCACTTTTTTTTCAAGGGTGGTTGCATTTTCTCTCTCTTGAAGTGAGATTTCACTGTGAGAAATTTAGAGTGTATAGATATAGATACAAGTCTGAAATTTGTTAGTCCATCAAAATAGTACAAAAAATATATTACATTGAGATTAATATTATTTGTATTAAAGACCTTGTATTGGTTCATAGCTCCTTACATATATTTTTAATTAATTTGAAAATATGATTAAGGTCAGTATTCATAGTCAATTCTTATATTCAAGACCGTCTTAAGTTTTGTCTTGAGGTGTCACGAACCAATCAGAGGGCCGCATTAGCGTCTTAAGACGTTACTTAAGATGGTCTTGAAATAAGAACCGGCCTATGTCTAGTTTTAGTATAGAAAACTCAAGCATGAAGAGAGCAATACTGCAAAAAATTTTGATACTCTAGAATCTAGCAGTCAGCTTGAGCGTTCTATATAATTATTTTAACAATCCAGTAAAATTTATTTTTCGATCTGTATCTAGTTAAAATTTTAAATAATTCAGCAAAACGTTTCTTTTTCTGTGAATGATTTGTGACGGACACAACAGCTTCTCTTGTTCTTTTTAAGCGCGCGATACTCGTTGGGGATCGCGTTATCTTCTGCGATAGGAACGTTAGCGGCCGACCACCAGGCATTCAAATTACCGGAAAGTCATTAGACATACAACCACAGAGAGTGAAGAGAATAACCCATTTACCGCTTGCATTAAAAGATACGCAAAGCAAAATAAACTCTTTTTGCCTCAACGTTGTTTTCGTTGACAAGTGTCTCTTAACTCGAAATTTGATAAGATCTTTATTATGTTCTCCAACATAATTCTCTGGGCAATTTAATAAAAGTCAGTGACTCTTTTAGTTTTGATAGAAAAAAAAATTAAAAAAGTCACTGACTTATCAAAATGCCCATATATGCTAGAAAATGATAGTATTCTCAAAAGATTAATTTGATTTCTTCAGATATTTAATTTGCTAATTTTTTAAAAATAGTAATATATGACACCAAAAAAATGATGACGGATAAAATATTAATTTCTAGCTAGATTTATATCTAAATCAACAAGCTGGCGTACGTGCTAAATTAATGCAAAAATATGCTAATTGCGTTGTTTTTCAACACGTTCCCTTCTATCGACGTTTCTGTGAGAAATATAAATTACTATCACGTATTTTCCATGAATTCGATCGCTCGATTATATCGTTGTTTTCAACCGAATTTTGCGACTCTACTCGTTCCCTTTATACAAAAAATCACAAAAATAGTTTCGCAAAAATATTTTTACGCTGAAAGCAGTCGTAGCGTTCGATGTTGTTTGCATGATGACAGTAATTTATTACGTCAGAAACCTGCAGAATGGCAGAAATCTAGAACGCCAACGTTTGATGAGCCGCAGTAGATAAATCAAAATATCTGAAACGGTAAAAACGTGCTCAGTGAATTTGTTATGTCGCACACGGCGTCGATGATAGAGTATCGTTATCGATGAGCGAGATAACGATCGTTCAGAACGTCCAGTAGAAATAGCATCGCATTGCTACCAGGCTTTAGTATCGCGCGAGCCGTGAAGGTGGATTAAAAGTCATACCGAAGGGAGCATGCAAGAGGACGAAGATGACGATCCCGCTCATGGTTGAGTTCTCGACGAACCGCTAAACTAAATCGTCGACATCTCGCTGATGATTCTAATTTCGATCCTAGTTCTGTTAAGATAAAGACAACTGAGAGATACAAAAAAGATAAGCCGATAAGAGATAATAGAAAAAAATCGTTGCGACTACTGTTGATTACTGAAGGCGGGATGAAAATGATTGTAAAGACCAAAGGATAAGTAAAAAATAAGTGCGAGTTATTCGATATGGATGATACTCGAAAAGAGTAGAGTTGAATAAGCGGATAAAGGAGAGTGAAGAACTAAGAGAAAAAGGTAGTATAAATTGAGGGAGTTTTATTTTTGTCGTGAAAATTGCAGTTATTTAACGCGCGTATCGAGTGCAAAAAGAAGCTTTGTGAAAAATAGAAACAAGAGCAAAGTGTGAATAAATTGAGAAAAGAAAGATTAGAAAAGAAGAGACTGGGAAAAAAACGCAGACAGACATTCCACTTGTGAAGAAGAATTTGAATATTAATGTTCAGGTATATAAGCAGGTTTTATTTTTTATACCTTTACCTTTTTCTTCACTGGTGCTAGGAAATTCCTGATCATATATTGGCCATGTGGACCGGCTATAATCAAGATAAGCTCTTAGCAACAAAATGAGAAAGATAGACGTGAGAAAGAGGAGGAATGAAATTTCAAGCGAGTGGAAAACGATTAAAACGCAAAAAAGATGAAACGCATTAACGCAGGAAATTTATTTTTACATAAATTGAATCTACATAGATCGAATTTATATAGCTTTTTACATAGATTAAATTCATTATTACAGAGATTGACTTGTTAATGAATGGTGAAGATAATATTTTTAATTCTCTTATGGAAGAAACTAGTGAAGAAATAAAGAAAATTATATAAAAGTTGTTTAGAAGGAAAAGAATAAACGGCGTAAGTTTAGGAAACTTGAACATTTTTTTAATGGAGACAAAAGACAAAGAAAGAAAAAAGTGGGCGTGTAAAGGTGAAGGACAGTCATCAACGGAATTAGCATAATTAAAGCGTGAAATTCCCGGTGACTGTGAACTTATCGCAAATAAAATCGGTTCTCAACGAAGAAAAAGAGACAACAAACAAGGAAAAAAAAAGGACAAGATAAACGGAAAAAAACTTTGTCGATGAAAGATCCTCGATAAAATATCAAATTTCGATTGATCGTCTTGATCGAAATAGCTATAATTAGTTTTAAGAAAAGATAAAAAAAAACCGGTAAAGAAGATTGAAGAAAATAAAGAAAAAGAAGTAGAAAACTTCAAAAGTGAAGAACAACTGAGAGATTAAGTGACGTGAATAAAAAATCAAGGAATTAAAACATGAACGCGCGTTTGCACGAAGTGACAGTAGAAAGAGAAAGAGCAGAAGGTGAGACGAGGGTGGAGGGTGGAAACGTCATTCTTGGCGACGGTCATCAACAGCGAGGTCGTTGCTCTGATCTTCCCGACGACTGGATCGGCAAGGTATCGGGTTACACTGGTGTCGATGCGCATCACATGGCGAGAGGAAACGAGATCGATTTCCCGTCGCGCGAATTGCTGAAACCACCGCTGCCGCCGTCATCTTATGGTCCTGCGATCGCGTTTAACAACGTCTTACCCGACACTGTTGTCGTACCCTCTCCCAGTATTACGTCACACGTTGATGATAATGCTAGATCACGAGCTTGCGATATGGGGACGACATCTTGCTCGACGATGAGATTTCCTTATGCGCCTGGTGCGACTTGCAACGTGGCATGCAGTAATGCACCAGCGACGACGTGCAATGTCGCTCCAGCGAGTGCTGACTGCGACGGTCCGGAGACAACGTGGTTCCGCAACGAGGGTCACTTGGCCGAGCCACAGTCGGGGGTTCGCACAGCGAACACGGCGACCTCGAGAATCTGTCAGCTGGGCCCGATTGACGTCGAGGACCTCGCAATGTACTTCGATTCACCGACGGACGGCTGCAAACCACCCTCGTTGGGTAATCGAGCGATCTATTCGAAGAAATTGCGATATGGACAGGTCGCAAGGACGGACCAGTCTCACGAGCATCACCGCGATCTGAATTTCCGTGATCTGCCTTCTTGCGATCTAGCACCCAATAATCTACAAACTTGCGATATGGGGCCCAGTACACTGGGATATTGCGATCTGGGGAACAGCGATCTACGCCTTCGTAATTCAGGATACGATGGTCCGTCATTTTGCGATCCAAGACTTAGCGATCCGCGATTTTGCGATATGAGACAGTCCGAGGAGCAGCCCCGTGAACCAGGGCGACACAATCTGGGACGGGGCAACCCGGGACTAGGCAATTGGTTCTGCAACGACTGCCCGGAACTATTTAATTTCTGCAGCGAGGAACGGTGGCTGCAGTGCCCGGCGAGCAATCGCTGCCCCCTTTATGACACCTCGTATGCTTACGACATGCCCGTTTTACCGCCATGTATGTACGAGAATGGTTACAACGATAACTGGCATTACGACAATGCGGAGGACGAACAACTCCTCGAAAATTACTTGTAAGTCGGCGATCATCGTAATGTCCTTTTGTTCTATCCATTCTCATCTACTTAGACCCTTCGACGTGTTTAATATCGTGATAAAATCACAAATGATGAATAATTTTAATAAAATTTGTTGAAATTTTCTAATGATTTTCTTATGGTATACTCAGGGTTGTCACAGATCTAGAAAACCGGGAAAAGTCAGGGGAAAATGTAAAAAGGTCTGGAATTTTGAAATTTGCTCACAATTTCCTTAAACTGCTCCTGTTCCAGATAATTGTTATAATTTTGTAATATTATATCTGACATTTATAGTAAAATACGTTAAAAACTCGCACATTTTAAACGATTTTAATAAAATAATTAAAATTTATATTTTATTCGGTATTTTTATTTGATCGATTTTTTTCCTAATACTAATTTATTTTTTGTTGGCTTGAATTTGTACCCAAAATTTTAGTATGCTATTAACCTTTTTTGCGTTGTTTTTAATAATATAGGCTGGCTTTCCTACAATTGTTGACTTTAAATGTGTTAAAATTTACATATTTTATATTGGAAAATTTTTCATTTTTTCATCTGGGAGAAATCTGGAAAAGTCAGGGAATTTAAAAATTCGTTTTCTGTGGCATCTCTGTGATACTGTTAGATATTAAGAGAACAGTAGTAACTCAATCCATTTCTACGGTTAATTTCAAAGTAAACAATAAATTAAATTTGAGTTAAATTTAATACATTTTTCTTAAATTAAATTGTTTAATTCTATTGTTTTAATTAAATTAATGACATATATATTGAGTAGGAGTAGTGACGACCTATAAAATTGATTAAAAATAACTCAAATTGGGTACCATATGACATAAATTTAACAGACTAAATTTATTTTTCCTAAAATTAATCTGGATCTTTTAATTTTAATTTTATTGAATTTTATCAATTTTCTTCTAATCTAATCCTAGAATCAAACTAGAATCACTAAATTTAATTTTGGTAGATTTTTGTATTCTTTTATTCAGTAGGTTTTCATATCTTTTTAAGAAAAATTGGATTTCTTTAACTTTGAAATAAAATTTCTCAATCACTGAAACAAGTTAAACCGCTATTGCAAGAAAACTTTATTTGTTCAATTGAAGGAGGACTTTGTATGTCATTTACAGTTTATGCAATATGGAACATTTTATATCTTACGCGGTAAAAAAGAAAATGAGTTGTCAATCATTTCCTCACAATAATTTTCCACAACGTTTAATTACATCTACCGTTCTATTGGATTAGTCGATCAGTTTGACTTTGACTGGAGTCCGCCAACGGTAGGAGGGCGGTGAGGGAGAGAAAACGTGACGAGATCGTAGGATCGATTTCAAAAGCAATATCATTCGAAGGTCGACCCGTCGCGATGATAACGCTTCGCTTAGCGATAACGTCGACGTTTTTTCTCGATTAACGACCGAAAAGATGCACCTTCCAATCCGCTAATAGCTGCATTCTGTATAGCAATGACGGTAATCGAATACGTTCGAACTCATAGGATTGTTGTCTTTAAAATTAGGTTGCTGAAACGATTGCTAGAACTGAAGATGAAGTTAATAATTTTATAAAATGTTGAATACACGTCAGATCCAATCAAACAAGTTCAATTGCTATCGAACTACTATTTAAATGTTTTCTTTATCGATATATATTTGCGCTTAGTAATCGAGCGCAGCCTTGCTTCGAGATCAAGTAGCGTCCGCAGCTGCACAGCATGCATCGTGATGCACGATTAGCGATTAATACATCGTAATATTGAGGCGAGTTGACGACCTTCAAGAATCGGGCAATGAGACTATGATCTGTTCTTTTTCCATCACAAGTTCTGAGCTGGTGTAATAAGTTAGAATGAAACAGATACAGTTTGTTTTATTTTAACTTTTTGCATCAATTCAGAACTAGTTTAGAATTCTTCGGAAAAGAACAGACCTCGTTTATCGTGCGTGATAGCGCACCTGACATTACACTTGTCGCTTACAAGGTACTTCAAGATGTCTGTTGACGGAAAAAAAGTCTAGAGATAGTCAGGAGAGCTCTCGTTCATGCATGATTCATTTTACGTGAAAAGCGCACAAAAGAAAAATATATATATCTATATATATTATATTCTGAAACCAACATTAATTTTTTGGCGAGTTTTACGTTACGTGCACGGATGTTCTTTATTTTCCACCACATTTTTCCACCAATTATCATGACATTTTTGAAAATTTGCGTTTTGGCAAAGAATGTTAACCCTCAAGTAATGTTTCATCGATATTTTAATTGTGAATTTTATAAATGAATTTATAAATTTAAATTTATAATAATCGGTAAAATATATAATACAACCCAACTTCTATGATGATAAAAATTATAATAGTAAAACTTTAAAGCTATGATAAGTATACCAAAATTATCTCAAATTTTTATATACCTAATCCAGAATACAATCAAAAATTTACTCTGTTTCTCGAAGATCTCTTTGCAGGCGAAAGAGTTAAATTCATATTGTCGCCAAAGGATTAAAATATAGTTTACGATTTATCAGTATATTTTCCAGAGATTCTGTGATACAGGTATATAAAATATTCTTAAGGACCAAAGATTGCGCAATCTCCGTAGAAATAATATCGGACGGACTATCTTATTTCGCAGCCGCTAGACGAACTTTTCGTGTTATTGCAGGAGCAACGAGAAGAGGAAGGAAAGGTCTCGCGATGCAGCGCGTTGCAGACGTAGCAGAGAAACCGATATCTTCACTGAACTCGCGGCTGTTCTTCCGGTCACGCCGGAACAAGCAGCGCTCTTAGATAAGGCCAGCGTAATGAGGTTGGCGATTGCCTACCTCAAAGTCCGAGCCGTCGTGGATTCCAGTGAGTATCTATAAAAGTATCTCAATGCTCGTCTTCATCGCTGCAACAAAGATGTTTCTTTCTTTCGAGATATAAAATACGATACTATTCAGCTAGAAACATAGAAATACTATTCAACTAGAAATATAGAAATATATTTGTTGCAAAATATTTAAACGCGGACATAAACATTTCAAATATATTTTAATGTAGAATACTTTATAAGCAGTTTTATTCTCACAATTTTATAGCAAGTCAGAATTCTATAATAATAATATATCATTAAATAGATTTGTAAACTGTAGAAAATGCGTATCTTAAGATACTTAATTTATTTGAACTTTAGGATATATCATAAAATTTCCTTTTATTAAATGTTATCGAGATTAGATATAGTCATTTTTTATTCTTTGAATCAAAGTGTTTGATAAGCGTGGGTTTTCAAAGTAAATAGTTTCAGATTTTAAATCTAGATTTTAATATTGTTATTTTTTACGATCTTAAATAATTTTGGGATTTAATTAACGTCGTACTTACTAAATTTACGAATCTTTTAACATAAGTTCCAGTTACGCTGACAAAATCCGAGTCATCCACGGAGGAGATGGATGAATTATTTCCAAAAGCTCTCAACGGCTTTATGTTAGTACTCTCCAGTGACGGCAACATGGTCTACCTCTCAGAGAATGTCGGAGACTATCTCGGAGTGTCACAAGTACGTTAAATGATCAAACAAACTTCCATAAACATTATCTATAATTATGAGAAATCTAAACTAGTAAATGACATAAATAATATCCAATGATTTTGAAACAATTTTTATATTTTAAACAATATTATCTTTCGTTTTAAATATTTTTTTAAGAATTTTCCAATATGTATATAAAATTATTTTTGATAAATTTTATATTTATAAAAAGTTTAAATGAAATTATGTTATTGTTTCAGTTAGTTTTTATTTAGTTTCGTTATGAAAAATACAAAAGGTAGTTACGAGTTTTTATTATTATGATTATTCGCTGCACTTTCCGTCAAAATTCGGGGAGAGTAAAACTATATGCTTTGCATAGATGGATATGATGGGACAAAGTGTATACGAATACAGTCATCCCTGCGACCATGATGAATTGCGTGAGTGCCTGTCTTCGAAGTCGGCGAATAACAATGAGAAACGTACCTGCAACTTCTTCTTACGACTCAAATGTACTCTCACTAGCAAAGGCAGGAAGGTCAATCTGAAGAGTGCTTCTTACAAGGTATGTAAAATATGAAAATTCTTTTATCTATTCTAATAATATAATTATAGTATTTATCGCACGAAACGTTGAATAAATATTCATAATAAATATTTGAGAAAGAAAAAGAGAGAAATATAAAATTATAATAAATTTAATAGAATATTTCTTATTTTATTCTCAAATAATTACTATATAAATATAATTTATTACATATAATAATTTGCATTTTTTATAAATGTGAAATATAAATACAGCATATGTATACGGATAAAAGTAAAATCAATATTATATAATCGAGTAACAGAATTTGCATAAATTTCGCAATATTTCACTTTATATGCTCATCTGAATAGATTTCTTTTATTGAAACCTTTTTCAACTAAATTAACTTGTGAATAATATATTCGTGATTGGATGTTGGCAGGTGATTCACTGCACTGGCAGATTGACAAACATCCGCGACTCAAACTCGAACTCTATGGAAGTTGATAATGAAGAGCGATGCAAAGAGGATGAGGACATAGGACAAGACACAGGCATTTCTCTGGTGCTCGTAGGTAGTCCTATACCTCATCCTAGTAATATCGAGATACCTTTGGGACGCCATACCTTTTTATCGAAGCACAATCTCAGCATGAAATTTACCTACGCTGACGAAAAGTAAGTAGATAATAGAACTATTATATTTTTATCAGTCTCTTATTTTTATGTTCGACACAATGTGGATTTTTTAGTTCGTGTGTAAATCCACAAAATAATTTTATTTGTTACGTTATTATTTTAAAGTAGTACAGCTTGACTCGTCATTTTTATTATCGTTGGCTTGCATAATTAGCGCAATGATTGAATATCTTTATCGTTCTTATCGTTATTCGATAAGTTTTACCTTGCTTATCGTACGTACGATTCAAGTATGATCCTTGTGACGCGTATTGTGTTACAAATATATATAGTATTTTCAAAACAATTGAATTGCATTATTGAATATTATTTTGCGTTATATCACTGGAAATATTTTTTGTCTCGTTTTAGATTAGCCGAATACTTGGGCTGGAGCAGTGAGGAGCTAATGGGTCGATCAGTCTTTGAGTTTTATCATGCACTTGACAATCTTACGCTGGACAAGTGTTTCAAATGCTGTAAGTATTCTTTACTTTTTTCTTTTTACTCAATTTTATATTTATTTAGTAAAACATGATAATTCGGTTACTTACTAAAATTTTTTTTAAATATCTAAAAATTAGATGAACATCCCTATCCTCGATTTCTACAGATTCTTATCGTTTCTATCCCTATTCTCGATTTCTAGAGATTCTTATATCGTTTCTTTAATGTACGAAAATCAATTTCTGTAAAATTTATTAAGATCGTTTAATTACGAAAATCACTTAATCTTAAATTCTTTATGTAAATTTTTATTCTTTCTCTGGTATTCAATAGTATTTTGATCGTCTGATTTTCTGGAGTGAATTTTAAAATTCCTAAAAGAGTCATTCTCTCGTATCGTAAGAAATTCTATTACGTGCGAGTTACACGTATACAGTGAAGCATAAACCAAATGGTTGTTAAGTGGCAATTGGTGTAAGAGTTGCTATGGTCGCATTGTTATTTTGTCTGACGATCGGTTTCAAGGTATTACGCTGTACGCAAGTAATACGGATACGAAACGTGATAACTATAAAAATAAACGAGATACATAAAAAGCTTTGGATGAACGAGAAACGCGGGGCGAGAGAGGCGGAGAAGCGGCTTACGGAATGGGTCGACCTGGGTGAATGACACAGCCGAGAGGAAAAAAGATTTCAAGGACGATCATATCTCTTATCGGTTGCGATGCTACCTTTGCGACGACCTTTTTTACGGCTTCCATTAGGGAGCGCAAACTAATGCACGGCTAACGTTATCGGCTACCAGTTATGCAATTATTGCATCTTCCATCGATATTTACGAGTACACACGTGACTTTATCGTGTCAATTTCGGTAATTGACTCATAAAACGGAAGGTAGATAATGAAAAATGAGATGTAGTGACAAAGTGTGAGGCTATAAAAATGTCAAAAGATATTTATCGTTTGACTGACATTTTACATTGATGATTACAGTCTGAAGAATTATCCTCGACGATCTATCGAGGATAACACATCGCAATTAAGTCATTAAACTAAAAATAGCATGTAATAAATATGTTCTATAATCTCATTTAATAAATATTTTATCTAACACTTAATTGCCAATATACATAAATATTATGTGGTATTAGACATTGGAAAGTGACAAATTAATCGTAAATAATAAATATTTTGAAATTAAAAATTGGTGAATTTATTATCGATAAATCTCAGTCTGTAATGTAGCAGATATCCAAAAGATTTTTTATTGATGACAAATTTTAATATATGCAGTAAAAATATTTCTACGCATATCTTATCAAGCATTTGCGAGATATTTGTTGGTCGCTCGTTACTGATATACGATTGTAAGAGACGATTTAGGAGGTTCACGTATTCGAGCAATCCGCAACGTTATCCCTTTAACGCCAACCAGCCTTGGTTTTCCGGCCGAATCAGCTCCACACTAATCCTACTCTAGTCGTGTTTTATGAGAATGTAGGGAGATACATTTCTAGAAACGAGATAATACGCTTCTCGAAGAGGCTGGCCTGAAGCAGCCTGGAGCGCTAGAATGTGCGACGTAATCTTACGACGGAACCGCAATAAAATATTTCATATCTCCGTTTCCGAGTTTATCAATCTCGCAGCTTATAGGATTACGAGAAGTGATATAATTCGACATATTTTGATAATTTTTTTAGATTGCATATATATGTGTGTTAAGGTAATCTTTGCAAAAATGACTGAAATTGGAAATTTATATTACTCATATATAAATAAATGTTATATACATATAAAACAGTTCAATAAGGTTAGTACTTTCTATTATATTCACGATACAATTTTATAGTTTAAATGAAAATTTTTTTTATCTTATCTTAATTATTTTTTAAAACATGTCTACCTTTTATTGAATAATTTTTGCTACAAGTTCTAAATTACCGCCAAATATTTTATATTCTCAAATATAGAAAAATCTGTAATTTTTTAATAATTTTTTGTAATTTGATTGCATCCTTATTATTACCAACTATTTTATTTTAATTTTTTTATTTATTAATAAATTTTATTTTTATTTTTTTATTCGTCTAGCATTTATTGACTAGATTTTATATCAGTGAAAATATATTGCAAACATTATTTTGTCAGAAAAAAATTATAAATTTCTAAATTCTCTTCTCCTTTTACAGCAAAATTCTAAGTTCTAGCAAAGTTCTAAGTCTATCAAAGCAGCAAACTATTCATCGTTGCATTAAGAAAGCTTATATCTTTATTCCTTTTGGTCGCCAATGTGCTAATGCATGGGTGTATTCGGCAATCCCATGCCGATCGATAAAATTTGCAATCCCATGCCACATGTTTCGTCAGCTGCGCACGACTCAGCGGCACTATAAAATCGCGCGGATGCGTTCGCATGTTCCGAGTCCTGGGATGATCGCTCTCTCATCAACATCGTTGTACTGTTTCAGTGTTCAGCAAGGGCCAGTGCGAGACCGTAGCGTACAGATTCCTTGGCAAGCGAGGCGGTTACGCCTGGGTTATTACCCAGGCCACCCTCATCCACTGCTCCAAGCAGCAGAAGCCGATCTCCGTCGTCTGTGTCAACTACATCCTAAGGTAGGATCCGTTATTATCCTGCCTGTTCGGTGCTGGTTTACTCTTCTTCATACCATCAAACCGGAGTACCTTCGATTTCGCTTGTATCTTAAATTGAGCATGGCTGTATTCTTTTCATTGCTCAATTATTACATTAGAGAAATTTAATTAAATCGTACATTGATTAAATTGTACATATATTGATCTGATTTCATTTCCGATGAATATCACTTTATAATTAGTTCATGCGTTTTTGCGGGAGCTATGTGGAAGATTTAACGATGAACAAGTGAAACTTTTTGATTTTTATTCTCAATTTTCAATCGTTAAATTTATAATATACTTTAAGTATTTTGCGATCTAACTTTAATTTTAGTCAAAATACTCCCTGAAGTTTAACGTGAATTTGAAGTAAATTATTACGTCAGATTACTATGTCATCAGCTCCTTTTTTCTATTAAAGAATAATTTTGAAATTATGACGGAAATGAAATCCAATCAATTCTTTACATTTCTAGTATTTTGCGCCAACATTTCTTAAATGACACTGCAAGCTTACGTCATACGTAATATTAATTTCGCAAAGCACGTGGTTTTTGATCAGGCGTCCACGTTCATTAACTCCACAACGTATCGCGTGAGAAATTAATTTCCATCATACTTATCGTGTCCTTGATCGCGCGCTCTATCAACTTCCTTGCATAATTATCAAATTGCGTGAGAATTTGTAAAATTGAAATAATGATATAAGTTATACTGAAATTCAAAAAATATTATAAAGGAAAACAAGTATCATTTAATTTTTCTTTTTTTAAATGTATTTTTACGGTAAAAATTTGTCTTTTTTTTGTTATGATTTATGAGCATTTTTAATAATTTTTTTTTATTAATACACGCGACGATGAACAATCCATACGTTAATATTCAAACTCATCGTTTGCCCGATTAACCGGATACGCAAATTATTTCCTACTACTACTGTAGACACGCCACTTCCGGTAACTTCCGGCGAAGGCCACGGCAGAGTCACGCGAGGTAAGTGCTCTCTTGATTTTTTTCGGCGCAGATTCAACCCTCGATTGATCGCCTAAAACATATTAATCTTAATTACTGTTACAAAGGAACACAACAAATGTCACCCTCCGATTTTAATGAGCTTTGAATATGTTAAAGTATAGATAAAAGAGATGTATATTTTTTTATAAGTGCTTCTCGTACATTAAGGCGATGAAGCTCCCTCTGGAAAAAAATAGATTTTTTTTTTTGAAAGAATATCATCTGAATCCTAAAGATATTTACAGAAATTGTAAATAAAAGTTGAATAGTTTCAAGAGTACTATATAACAGTAATAAATTTTTTAAATAAAACTATTATTTATGAAAAATAAAAATTGTTTTATTGTTGTAAAATACTTTTAAAACCATTTAACTTTTAAAAAACTTAAACCTTTTTTTATATCTTTAGACGATATTCACTCAGAAAAAAAGTAATCTATTTTTGTCAAATGTGGGTTTCTCCTCTTACCATGCGAGAAAATACTTATATAGAAAAATACATGTCTGTTATTTTTTCCTATACTTTAACATATCCAAAGCTTGTTAAAACACTTGGTTGTGTTTCCTTGTTAGTACGATTCACCGAAATAATACGAAGAGAAATTTATTTGTTTACGATCTTAATAATAATGCTCGACGATTTAGCTAATGAATCAGATAAGAAGAACGCGTTCAAAAATATCTCTTAGAAAAACCATTTCCTTTCAGATAATTCTAAAAGTGACTTTCAAAATTTTCTCCGTTCTGATCTTTTATTCTTACAAAGTTTCAAATTTTCTATTAATTTTTTTTTTTCGAATATGTCTCTAATATCGTATCATTCAAGGGTTAATCTGATGCCTTTTAATGCGACAAGTTAGCCGGATGCTTTCGTGTAATTTTTTTTCTTAGCGCATCGGTTCTCTTCTCGCATTTGGTGTTTTTTTGCATGTCTGTCGAAGGTACTCCGAATATTCGCGGCTTCCATTTGAAAAGGGGTGCACGAAAACAATTTTACTCTACAGACGTTTATTGTGGAAGATCACAAGAGGCATTAAATTACCAATGAATTGTGTCCCTCTCGCCGAAAACAGAACTCTCACTATCAAGGATCGAATGGATGAAACGAATCTCCCTCGCGGTTTGAACGTTTTCCCCTTCCGGGGAATCCATAACATGCGCCGAATTTCCCGGGATTGCCGATCCTCTCTCGAAGAGAGGAAAACGAAGAGAGTTTCGTGGTATAAACCGACCCCTTTTTCATCCCGCTATCTCGGGGCGGTGGCTGTTTCCATTGGTGGCTGAAAGGTGGTTGGTAGATTCCAACATTATCTCTGACCTATCCCCTTAGATTCTTGCTATTTTCTCGGATATTTTACTCCATCCCTTCGCCATCGTTTCTACCCCCTCTTCTCGACTTTTTCGCACTCTCGATTTCGTCGGAGAACGCGCGTACCTCCAGTTAGCTTCTGCCACCGAAAGCGGAAGAGTTCGTGAATATCGTAGGTATCAGTCATGTACGTTTCTTAACATATAGTATGTATTCATATACAAAACGAGTTAGCCTTGATTCTGTGAAGTGTAATTTTTATCGCAAATGCACTGAAAAAAAAGTCTAGTTATAGCTACCAAATATTGAGTGAAATAGTTTCAACTAAATGTTGAGGTAATATAACTAAACATAAGTTTACTTTTACAAATATATAATAAGTATTACCGTTGGTAATACTGTTTAGTAATATTTACTAAATATTTGTAAAGGTAAACTTATGTTTAGTTATATTACCTCAACATTTAGTTGAAACTATTTTACTCAATATTTGATAGCTATAACTAGACTTTTTTTTCAGTGTGGAAAGATTAATATAAGTCTACGTCATATATTAAATAATTACGTTAATCTTTCCTCAAAATCCTACGATGTTATCATTTAATGATTTTAGTTCGTAAAGATTTTGTTTCAAATTAATTAACGAGTTTAATGGTATTTATTTTTCTAGTATGTTTTCTGTAGCATTTGTTTTCTTATAATCTAATATTCAATTACCACTTTAAACAGCTGTGTGCGTCGATCGCAGTTCTTTCTCGTAATACAATCGTTTGTATATTCATAGGGAAGCTCGCAATGCCTCGTCCGTATTACTATTATCACTGCTAACTGATTAATCTGCATGCACAGATCGATAATTAACGTCCATCCAATCGAACGGTCGCCGAGGCCGAATGTGCGTTCCCCTTCAAGCTCGCACAAAGCAGCGCACCGTCGAGGTGGAAAAGCTGACGCTTGCGCGTCGCGGTACACGACTTCGTCGTTCCTCTCCCGGTCGGCTCCGGAATCCGTCGATACCCGCGTGCGCGTTCAGCACGATCGTCCGTCGCGTACCGGCGTACGTCGACGACCCGCGACAGTCGAACGAAAGCGAGAGCGATCGGCGAAAGTGTTGTGTCCCGCATGTCGCGCAAGCTCAGTCGCGATCGCGACGGTGGTTGAAGTTAAAAATTCGTATGCTGTCGCAAGTAAGTCGATAGATAGAACGGACGATATCATGAAGATTGTAGGAGAAAATTTGTCGTAAATGAAATACATGGTCAGAGTTACAAAACTGGAAATCAGAGAAATCAGGGAAAAGTCCGGAAATTGCCAAATTTTCTGGAAAATAAAAATTCTTGGCTTTAAAGAGGTTCAATATACCTACGTCACGTCTACTTTGGAATATTACCAACTTGACAATCAAATGCAAGCAGTTTCAGCAACATTATTAGTGATTTATATTGCTATGTTAAATGGCTCTCTCGATAAAATATTTAATGGTTTTCAAATTATGACGAAAGTACAAGAAATTTTTTAATATTATTGAAACACCAGAGAGAGAAAATCATAAAATTTTGTTTGAAAATCAATAGACAAAGTTATGGAATTTTAGGATACTGTGACAATCCTAACGTAATGTTTTCATTCTTTTATTTTGTATAATGATTTAATCGACGAGATAAGTTGCAATAAAACAAGCGCAGCACGATGTCAGATTACAATTTAAGACTTTAAAGTTTAACAGAAAATTTTTGTTATACAGAATGCAGAAAAGTTAAATTAAGATTCAAATTGATGCTGACAAGCGCAGGAAGAGGTCGTGCGCGATACTTTTCTCTAAGGAATATTATACGTATTCGCATTGCTGTCTGCCGAAGAAATGTGATATTATCTTCCGCTTCTCGCACGTGTCTGACCGGTTTTCCTGCAAGAATCCTCGCGAGGATCGCTTTTGAAAGCTGCTACGCGTGAAACCACGACTTCCCGTTCGACGAGAGACATTGCATTGCATCGCGTTAGCTCACTTGAGTGTTACATGGAATTATACAATCAGTATATCTATTCTTGCACCGATAGGAGATATCGAGTAAAAAGACCAATGAGATTGTCATTCGAAAGTAGAAGAGAGGGAAGACTGTTGTTTTTGAATCGTAAGATGTTGATTGTCCTTGCGAAATATTGACATTACAGAATTATAACAAGTGCATATATCATAACAAAAATTACATGTGTGTGTATAATGCATTAAAAACAAAAACTCCTTATCTGCTAAGAGAACTGAAGAAACATGTTGAACGTGCTTTGTTCCGATAATCGTGGTATTTTTTGTTTTTTTTTTTTTACAATGAATATTGACGATGCAGTACGAAATTAAAACGTAGAAGTGCGTCAAGCATAGATAACGTACATTACCTGACTAAAAGTAGAAGCACTTTATGCCGCTCTACAGGATATACATGAAAAGCTTATTGCCATTATAAAAGAATTTTAATTTGTCGCTTTGTTTTTACTTAATATTTCACAAAAAATTAAATATTTAATCTTTTATAACCTTATATTTCTTCCATCCAATTTTACTTACAAATATTAAAATATTCTTTGCTGAGGCAAAAACTTTTTCCAGCAAAAATCCTTGCATTGTGTATTTCTCGTTAACCTTTAAAAATAGCAATCT